ATATCTATATAGAGAAGTATATCATTGGTATATTTTGGAGACCTAACCAAATTTATCCGAAATTTAAAATTTCAGCTGATCATACAAGTTAATTAGTCGTTTCTTAAAGTTAATTTATTAGTCTTTTTAAATGGTTAGTTGAAAAATAAAATAATATTTTGAGTTTTATTAATTGATACGTCATTGGATAAAATAATTTAATAGTTGGATTCATGAGTCAATTGAAACTAGACAACCATCAGAAACTTCGAAGCACTGGACGGCGGTTTCGTTTTAGTATGGGACTCCTCAGCAGTGCGCATTCACTATCACGCCCGCGGGATTCGGACCCAGGACCTATCGGTTTCTCTAGACCACTGAGCCGGCATCCAACAGTGTTAATGTCTAACTTCAACCAATCCACGAAATTGCGCCACCGCCTACCACTGCCTTCAATGTTTGTTTATGAATATGAAAGTATTTACTCTTTATAGAACAATAGTTCAGATGATTATAATGTCTTGACAGCTGTGAGAAAATCCTGTTAGTTCATTGGGAAACATATGTCTAAAAATTTTTAATTATTTCCACATGTAAATTAATTTATTTAGGATATTTTTTGTATTCAGATATTTGTGATTTTAAAGATTATCCATATATTTCAACGTCATGCTATCAGAGTAGTAAATTATTTCAATATTTGCTTGAAATTCGTTAACTTTATGGGATTTAATGATACTGTTAATTCATAAGATGCATACATGTAAGCTGATTAGATAGTCACTTATTTATATTCATGAATTATTTGAAACAGTATGCTACGAATGATTCCTACAGAACGTTTTCACTCAGACAGATGTATTCACAACAACGTATTACCGGAACACTCGTCCTTTTGCTACACATTCTAAAATGGCACTTATGTGAAGTGATTTTTAGTTAACATCATGAATTGATCTTAGTTAAATAGCCAATGGAAAACAGTAAGCACTATACAACTGTTTTGTTCTAGTATTGGATTCCACAACGGAGAGGAATTCATGTCCGTCACCAGAAATGGAACTTAAGACCTTAATCTATAAATCGCTAAGACATTATTCAACGGTTTACTTGTTTAACCTCTATTAATTCGTAATATCTATCAACCATCTTTCAACTGGAAATTAAATAAATCATAAATATCTCTGTAGTGAAATAATGTATGTACTTTGTGTCCTGTAAATTAAGTTTTGAATGGATGCTAATCTTTTAATCCTTTGTTGTTATCTTTGAATCCTATCTCAATAAGATAAAATGGGAAGCTTGAACTTGACTTTTTTTTAAAAAAGTTAATGTATTATTAAATTTGTTGGACACATAAAGATTCCTATTAACTCTTCCATAATGTCTCTGATACTTCAACAGCGTACACGAAAGCTAACAATCTTATAAACCTTATTGATTTTACATTATGTTTTCACTTAAATGGCATATTCACTAACAGTCCAAGTGCAGTAACGATTAACGTTCAAATAAACAAGAAAATAACTTATATCAACTTGGCGTATGATACAAGCTTATTGTGTTAAAACTAAAGTTCTTTATCTTATTAGTTTATCCAATGAAATGTTATTAATGAAACTTTGAAACACTTATCAATTCTTTATCTCTTGTGATAGAAACTGTCACATTAATCAGTAGAGCTTAAATCACTATCAAACCTAACTGATAGTGATTATGTAAATCTAACTAGTAGTAGAACAATGATATTCACATAAGTTTATATACAATATCATGGATAGATTTGCACTAAAACCAAAGATTTTGAACTAACAAACTGTCTTTCTTTAACAACAGATAATATTTAATCCTAAAATCTTTTTTTTTAAATAGCTTCGTAATGTTTCATGCAATTAGTTTCCTTTATGAATTTAAATAAAACGAGAACGAACATGGATTCAAATAATGTAACTTCAATATAAAATTTTAATACATAGTTGATTGGAAGCAATTGATAAGAAACCATGAAATATATTGAATTCATATTATTCTCCATCCATGTTTATTCTCGTTTTATTTGAACTTCCTAATAAGTAATAGTGTTGAATTACTATGTAAACTTTTCTTTTAAATGTTATTTAGTCAGTAGAAAAGAACACGGGTGGGGACAATCGAATGTATTTGACACGAAATTACAGAGCATCTCAATCAAATCTGAGAACCATATAGTAAACCGCTAATTTACAAAATATCAATCCATCATCTCAAACTTGACTGTTCCTGTTGCAAACATCAATCTATTGTCTCAGATTTCATTGTTCATGCGTTTTCATACTAATTCCTTTCCGTTCCCGTTCTTCCCTCATCGACTTTCTACTGAAATACATTCTATACCTGACCACCGTTATATACTACTTGTGTGGATATAAGTAACCCACATCACACTCGTCCCCCATTTGAAGCATTCGTTCCTGCGGTGGTTCTGATCACCGTACCACTTCTCCTTTGCAGTCTGTGCCACGCTCTCAGTCAAAATGTTGATTCTGCGGCGCGCTGACCTTCATAGCTCCGTCGACCTGCCAGGGCACTAACACCCGATATCCACCTGGCACCTGAGACGTCTAACACCCGTGCTCCACTGGCCTGCTGAGCCATCTACATCCCATGTCCGCCCAGCAGCCGCACGTCTCAGATTAAGCTTAACCATTTAGTCTTTGAAGTGATTTCATCCAATATATAAAATGACCAATTTCAAATAAATAACGTTTATTGTTTTATTGAATTGAATATTTATTTTATGTATAATACTTAACTAAAACTGTAAGATGATCATTACTGTATTAAATTATTCTTATTTTTATCACCAATAAATTATTTATAAATATATATATACCTTCCTGCATCATTTTATACGAAAGCATATGGAATGTCATTATAATATTCATTAGTTTAGATATGAATTATACCCATATCTAATTAGAATATATTTCTCTATAATTAAATTTTAAGTAGGTATTACTCACCTAAAGTATATAAATTCTTATCTCCCATCAATGAATTTTATATAAAAGCATAGTTATAAAATATGAGAGGGGGTTATTTATTTATTTAATGTTACTAATTTATTATTTAAGAAAATATAGAAAAAAAAGGAACTTCAGGGTTAATTTATTCTTAGTTGTCATATTAATCAGTAGATAAATTACAGTTCTATTTAATGTATATATATATATATATGCATATATTATCCAATATCAAATATTCTCTAAAAAAATTTTATGCTTTGAGATGATTTTACTATGTGACCGATTCAAGACTGACTGATTGGGAAGAAAGATAGTTTTAAAGCATATAGACATGCTTAAGAAAAAATCCGTTCAATTATACATATATATATATATATATATCCCTGTCTGGTAAACTAAATAAATTGAATTTCTACTCAAATTACAACATTCATTGTTCAGTTTCTATCTTGTTTCATACTTCATTTTTAAAAAAAAATAACAATTAACGTCTTTCTCCATCTAACGCAAGCTCAATAATAATAATAATAATATGAGGTAGAAAAGTAATAAAGATCGATCATTCAAATCTAGTCTTGTTTAAGTATCTCTCTGCCTGTTTTCGTAATCTCAATTGTTAGATTGTTACTTGTTCTTCTGTTAAATTAAATGTCTAAACTATGATCGATAGAAAATAAGCTCATGTTTGAAATTTCAACATTTTCTCATTTTTGAAATATAGACAGCTTGGGGTAGGTTGATAAGCATATAGACTAATATTATCCCAACTAACCTATTAGATTTAATCCATTTTTTGGTGTAATGGTTGTAACGAAAAATAAATAGACACAGTAAATAATGTCCAGATTTATTCATTATTTATGTACAGTAGTTACCAAGTTGTTTACTTAACCTGGATAATTATTGACATTTGGTAACAAAACCTTGACTCTTAATTTTTACAATCTTCGACATTAGTCAAAAAGATCAACATGGAACATCTTATGTATAATTCGAAATGAATATTATATCGAGTTCTGCATTCTCAGTCCTTGATCACTTCAAATGAAATAGGAATTAAATCAAGTTTGAATCGTCAAGAAAGAATCACTGTCCTTAAGAGCAGTAACAATTATGAAGAGAAATACGAACATAAGTTCAGTAATATTCATTCCGTTACTTTTAACATCGATTTCGAAGAAGAAATCAGTTCAGAAAGAGTATTTTTTACAGATAGGTCACAGATCAACCCTAGCTAGACCAATCACTTAAAATTATGGAGGACTGACTGATCATTTCATTGTAGCATGTCACTCTCAAAACGTTTACAGACACAATCTGTACAGATATTAAACCTATAATGTCCAAGTCTTTAAGCAAACACAAGAAGCTTTAAAATAATGTGATAACACAAACTATTTATCATTAGCATAGTTTTATTGTTTATGACATCTAAGTTAGTCTTATCATTGAATACGATAAAATAACATCATTTTATACTTAATTGTCATCAAACGTTTTGTCTAGAAAATTCTACAAAGGATTCTATCGAAATAAATGATAATTTTCTGAGGTAATATTGAGGTTTTTGATTATTATCTCAGTGTATCAAGTTTTTTAATCAACTATCAGTTAATGCTTGTACAAAACTAAAAACTCAATTCAGTATGTGAAAAAATACAAAAAGTAAACACAAATGATGATTTTTTTTGGGTGGGGGAATCGATATCAACCTGTTTCTTTATGGTTACTAAATTGATCAAATAGAAAGATTGATGTGCTTTAAAACTATATAAATGAATCTCTTAAAACTGGAATACTCAACTTATATATATATATATATATACTTCAGATACCACATGGAAGACATGTATAGCAGTGGAAGGAAATTGGATTATATAGTCTCCAGAAAACAAATATTTTCAACAGTAGTCGGTTATCCAGAAAAATTACTATTTTAAGCTAAGTTCATTCATAGATTTTTTTGTTTCTATGCCTATATTTATTTATTGTTTTGTTTCTACTCATTTCACATAGGATAAAAGCTGATTCTTTATCAAATTATCCTTCTGACAAGCAAAAAATACCCAATAATATTGATACTAAAATAATATCCACATCAACTTTACTTGAAAAGGAACCAATTATCAGTCATAATAATAAAACCAATACTAATTTGACAAATCATAATTCTTCATCTTTACAAGATAAAAAATGCACAAGTAAGTTAGAGGAAATAATAAAATACTTGAAAAATAGAATTTACCCTTAATTGATTAGTAATTATTCAAGTATTCATTTTACAATATTGATAAGGATTTCGTTAGATAAGTTGAAAGCATACTTCAGAGATATGAGAGCGTAATAAATTTTTGTAACCAACAAATCTGTATTCAGTGTAATTTCACTTTTGAAAGGAATGACATCATACTGTCACTTCACTAACTTAAACGAGTTTCAGTCACCAAAATGGGTTTATCTCCAGAAAGAAAAGTATAAGGTATAATGTCATTTTATGCAATAAAAGTCTTTAAAAATCAATTTTAGTAGCTAATTTACTCTAAATAGCAACTATAGAGCAGAAATAGATGTTAATCATAAAATAAATACAATTAAAATATTTAAATTCAAGGATACGATTCAAGTTGACAGAAAAACTTAGCCGTAAGATAAAATATGTAACCTATAAATTAGAATTTCTACATTTAGCCATTATATTTTTCTAGTTCATTTATCAGAACAACAGACGAATAACTGAAAAATCGGAAAAATACGATCAGATAATGATCATGTAGATTAATGATTAAGTGAATATTAGTATCCAGGTTCAGTTCCCCTCTTCATTTTTGTCACTACATGAAGCCGAATAATGTTTCCAGCTCTCAAATTCTGGTACATGAAGCTATACTTGATAAGTTACATGTATTTTTTAGTTTTCTTTTTACTAAGCTACCAATATAATCGGTTTTACGAAGATATTTGTAACGTAATATGTAAGTAAATAGGATACTGGTTTAAGATAACAAATCGATCATTATGACCGTGAATCTTCACTAAGGTGCCTAGGAATCTCACTACATAGGCTCCACAATCATCTATTTCAACGCCCAATGATGAGTGAGATAAGAGAAAGTTGGATAAATCCTAGGGTTACCAAAACCATTTTGTATCACCAATCCATGATTCTACTAACTGTTTATCTGAGCCATGTTAGTAGATACAGATTACTTGGTTAGGCTGAAGCTATAAACTCAATTAGATTTTAAAAATTTGTATGATATGACTTAAAATCGAACTGCACGGTCCAAATTTGTTCATTTTTCATCTTTTCAAGGCCATGAATTGTAATACTCTCCCATACTTTTCTTCTTTATCAACTATTTTCTCCATATTTAGTCTTCCTTATTATCATAGGTGCCACTAATATTTCAATTTCTTTGATTTTCATTTTGCCAAATTTATATCTGGGTGGTTATATGATGTCGGCAATTTGGCTAATGCATTTTTGTCTCGGGTCCTACAGCGGCTATAACTTAATAACTAATATTTTTCACTCAACTGTATACTTAAATGATAAATGGAAACTTTTAAAAACTTCATTATGTATAAAGATAAATAAACTCAGACAGATTTAAAATGAAATGATTAGTAGGACTGCTAATTTTCCACAACTTATCTCTTTATAAATTTCAGTGAAACAGGATACACTAATCACTTCTCAACCAATCAAAATACAGTTACGTGAAGAATCTAAAGAGTGTAGAATCAAACAACAATTGGATCTTATGAATGCATCAACAGGTGAACAGAATTACAACAAATCTCATTTCTTACAAAATTCTCGACCACATATATGCATGTCACCAAGATGTCCACCAGATGGTGCAGCAGTTCATGAAATTTCTCCATCCAATCTCAGTAAATCAAATAAATCAGTTATTTATGAAAATTTGATTGATAGATATTTATTAATGGAACATGATAATCGTTTACCAAAAGAAATCTCTTCACAATCATTAGCTACTACAAGTACTGTTAACAGCGTTACAACAACACCAACTTTTATTGATAATTCCTCCATTACAAAAAATCACATGAACAACAATGTCAAAGACATTATGACACACAGAGTTTCAACTCAAAGTACTCAAACAAATTCCGACATAATGACAGTTACATCAGCTAGTCTTGTACATGATTCACTTTCCGCTTGTGATAGCAATAATAAAGTGAGTTAAAATAAATATTACTGTAGTGGCAAGACTATAATTTATGGATGAATCAATCAATTATAAGATAAGTTCTTGGATTTTGATGTGGAATTCATTCATCGATTTGGTTAAAGAGCGTTTTGAGATTTTAGATGATGTCAGTTCGTGATGAAAACTGTAAATCTAATTCCTAACCCTAACCATCAACTGTAAACTATGATCCTTATTTTTTGCACAGGTTTATAACACTTAATTAGCACTAGTAAATAAGTGAGTATTCTCAAGGCCATTTTACCGTCTCTCAAAGGTCATCCATAAATTATACTCTCACCACAGTCTTATATGAACTAATAATATTCAAAACATTTTTTGGCTTGGTATATAAATATTTTGATGTAATTATTCGTAGATTAAATTTTGATTGCTCATGACCCTAAACGATACAATATGAAAAAAAAATGCAATTAAGTAAAATGTTATTTACATTCGTCTTGTACTTGAAAAAAATTATCTAACATAATTAAACTATTTGGCACATCTAACAATATGATCTTCTGTTGACCAATGTATTTCATTCAGCTAGGTTAACTACTTTGTATGTCAGTATGGTCACCCAAAATATAAGTATTACCTACATTCATATGAAGCTTAATCCACTCATTATAAATGACCTGTAAAGTGATTATGTTCAGTCGTTGGTTCAATTCATGAAGTGAAACATCCTGTTTCAATACTTTGTTTATTAGAAACCAAGGTGTAAATTTTTTCGCGTAACATTCACTTCAATGAACTTAATGATCAATAACATTCCTTTAAATATTTACCCTACGACAATAATTAGATCTTCAAACAGTATACTTTAATAAAGATTCTCATATATGTTCACTCATTAAGTAGTTAGTAAAAAGTAGTTAGTAAATGCCTCGAATCGAATAGCTCATTGGCGACATTTCTGACTGTCACTGTGAGATACTGATTCAAATTTAATTGTGAACGTCAGTTCGTTTAGGATTGTAAATATCTCTTGCTTAACATTCTCAACCGAAAGTAAACCTTCATTCATGGTTTACCAATGAACATTGCATTTAATCAAGGAAATCTGTAATTCATAGGCCATGAATGGATTGTTTGAAGATATTTGTAACTCTTTTTAACTTGCATGAATTATAAGAACTTATTTTTAGCAAACACTCATCTTTTTATATTCTTGATAGTTATATACCAAATTGAAAATAAGTCACTTATTTTGTCAAGTTTATGTGAATCGATTTATACAACCAAACAAATGATTTCAACGAATATTTTCACAATATTTGGGCGCCGAGTTAATGTGAGACATTAAAGTGAATGAATGTATTTGTAAAATTTCAGCGAATGAATTTGAAGTAAATCCTTGAAAAAGCTTGGAACAGATTGCCGGGCGAAACGTTGGATTTACTTCAAATTCTTTCGCTGAGATTTTACAAACACATTCTTCCTCTTTAATGTCAAACATATGATTGTTTAAACAAAATTTCCATCATTGGACAGTATTGATTAAACAGTCATTTATAGATGTAGAAAAACTTATTAATGATGAATTTCAAACTCACATTATGTGAACACATATTCACTTTTCTCTTTAGTTTTCAGTAAGTATTTATCACAGCTACTTTTGATGAATAAATGAAGAATTTCAGTTACTCTAAATATGGTAGTTCATTTCAAAATTTACATTTACATTCTACACAACTAGCTATTTTAAATATTAGTTTACGAGGATTTATGAAGATTGAGGAGTTTTCATAGTTTGAATCTTAGTCTTATCTTAACTAAACCATCACTGAAAACCTGGAATCACTGGATGACCGTTTCACCTTTGTACGTTTCTCCAGCGGTGCGTGTTCATGATTCTGCCAAAAATAGAATCTACGATCTTCGACCTCACTCAGGAATCCTTGACGTCTAGACCATCTAGCTGATATCCAACGGTGTACATATATAGCCTTTATTGGTTCCACAGTATTAAGTAACCTTCATCTATTGTCTGGAGTGGATGAGTCAATGATGTGCACTGTTGAGGTGTCCTATCCTAAAATGAAACGGCCGTTCATTGATTTCAGGCTTTTCATTGATGATCTAGGCAAGATCAGTTCATGGTTTAAACTAATGTAAATGTACTTGCCACTTCAGTGTTGAATATTCCATCCAGTTAATCTTCGATATGAAGCATACAAGTCAAAATGAATAACAATAACAAAAACTTAATCACACAAATGTTCAAAACATATATATACGCATATGTGGGATAAAAGTTTTTTTTAAAAAAAATTATTCTTTCATGGGAATTGATAATTTAACCATTCTCAACAGACCACCAGAATAAATTATTAAATATTATAATAACCCTGATAATAATGATTATGATTTCTTGATGAGAATTATAACTTTCAATAATCAAATCAACATCTATAGGATGATATATGATTGTCTAGTTTAACAGAATCAGTAAAATAATAATAACAACAACAGAAGAAGAAGAAGAGGAAACAAATACACTTCTTAAACTGTCAAGAAATTTCACAGAAATGAGATAATAATTCTCATATTTCACTTCCTGACTATAATATAAATCTAATGTTTATTAGTTGCTATTTTGCATAGATTAAGAATGATAATTGTAATGTGTAGACTAATATTAACTTACAACTATATGACTATTAAAAAGGAGAAATAAAGGAATCTGTATATATAAAAAATAAATAAACGATTTTATGTGATTCATCAACTTTCATTATATAAATAATTTCTAATAGCTTCTTTATAACAGTATGTATTTTCTAATTATTTTAGATGGAAAGAATTATCAGTGTAATTGAATTTTTGTAGAAGTATTTTTTTTCTTATTTAATTGAATACTTAACTTATCTGTTTACCTAAAAGATGTAAGCCTGTTTAATTATTGTGGCAACATTTATTGTGGAACTGGTCACTGGACATCAACTTCATGGATTATGAAAAAGCGTTTGACAGTGTAGATAGGGAAACATTATGGAAACTTCTTCGACACTATGGAGTTCCTGAAAAGATTGTCAACATTATCCGGAACTCATACGATGGACTACAGTACAAAGTCGTGCATGGAGGACAGCTGACAGATGCATTGCAAGTAAGGACCGGAGTCAGACAAGGCTGTCTACTCTACCTTTCCCTCTTTCTTATGGTGGTTGTTTGAATTATGAAGACCTCGACATTTGAGGGAAAACATGGCATACAATGGACAGCTCAGAACCAATTAGACGATTTGGACTTCACAGATGACCCAGCCCTCCTGTCGCATACACACGAACAACAGCCAGTGTAGCAGCAATCTCTGCATCAGTAGGCCTCAACATACACAATTGGAAAACCAAGGTCCTCAAACACAACACAGAGAACACCAACTCAATCACTCTTGATGGCAAAACTCTGGAAGATATAGAATCCTTCACATACCTGAGTAGCGTCATCAAGGAACAAGGAGGATCAGATGCTGACGTAAAGGCGAGGATTGACAAAGCAAGGGCCGCATTCCTACAATTGAAGAACATATGGAACTCAAAACAACTTTCAACCAATATCAAAGTGAGAATCTTCAATACGAACGTCAAGGCAGTTCTGCTGTACGAAGCTGAAGCATAGAGAACTACTACAACCATCATCAAGACAGTACAATTATTTATAAACAGCTGTCTATGCAAGATACTCAACATCCATTGACCGGATATCATCAGCAACAGCCTTCTGTGGCAGAGAACAAACAAGCTTTCAGCTGAAGAAGAAATTAGGAAAAGACGATGGAAATTGATAGGACATACATTACGTAAACCATCAAACTGCATCACGATGTAAACCCTAACTTTGTATCCTGAAGGGAAGCGGAAAGGAGGAAGGTCAAAGAACACATTACGTCAGACAATAGAATCAGATATGAAAAGGATGAATGACAACTGTAAAAGATTGCCAATGACAGGATTAGATGGAGAATGATGGTGAGCGACCTATGCTCCTTCACGAGGAGTAACAGGCGTAATTAAGTACATTTATTGTATCTCAGTTTATTTTCTCTAATCCTTTGTTTACTATACACATATACAGTTCTTAATCTATTTGAATTAGTGTGAAAAAAATCAAAGTTTCATTTCATATATATTTTAACATGGAGAAGAGCATTTCACTTCTTAGTTACAGAATTAGCTGATCTATAAAAGTAAGTATTAATGATGTTTTCTTATGATAAATTAGTAATCATCAAAACATTTAATTATTAATTGTGCATTTTTACTTGATTATAGAGTCATTTAACCTCAGATACGATTAATTCTTATCTGTCCCCACCCAAGAAAACTGTAAATATCCCTACCCAACCTCATTCATCAGTCAGTACAAATACTTGGTTCCCACCTCCTCCTCCAACACCACTTCAAGATTCAATAATGAATTCTACAAATGTTGATTTGAAAGCACCGCACTATCATGAACATTGTCGTCCAGATGAAGTTCGTTCATTAGTTATAGACAAACTTCCTGATAAATCCTCTAATATCATTACTAATTTAAATGTATCTTCAACTTCTGAATTCAATTGTTCAACAAAAATTAGTACATCTGTTTCTTCAACAACAAATTTAAAATTATCCACATCTCCACCAACACCACCTTTACCTCCACCATCTTCCCCACCCTGTCCACCATCAGTTCCACCAAGACATCCAGCTACTTCATTACAATATAAAATCGAACTGACTGATTTACCGAAAGTAAGTGAATTTTAGATTTTTTAAATAGTTTGTTTTTTGTTTTATTTTTTCTGTTTCATTCATTTATATTAAAAGAAAGTGACTGTCAGTTTAATGACAATTTTAATAAATCTATTCTTAGTATTGTTCATTGACAAAAATAAGCTACAAAATAGATCGATGAAAGACAATAAATGAATCACTTTTATGCCCAAAAGTATCCATACCTATGTATATCCTGTTTTACCGTAGAAATGATTAAAAATAAAAATCAATTATAGAATACATTTACGCGTAATGTAGCATAGAATGGATATTTACTAAAGAAAGATGAGAAAAAATATTAAGGAATATGTTAACGCATTTTCAATTATCTCATATGTAATTAATGGAATCATATATGAATAAGGGTTTAAATCTTGTTTTGAGAACTTCAACTACTCAGTCTCTTTGAGCGTATGTACATTCTGAGCAGAGTAGTTTGATATTGTCGTCATTCACAAACATTTATAGCTATCAATAAAATTCAGAATACACTTTTCGTCCCATTTGAGACTCGTTGCCCAGAAGTACCTGAATTTCAATACTGCTATTCTCAGCAAAAATGTTTAAACCTTTACAAATGAATAATCCTTCTCCATTGCACATGATACTGACTTTCTAGACTCAGTAAATAAGTAGATAATTCAATGGTGCTTAAAGAGAAAGACAGTAAGTTTGAATTCATGAATGAACATCAACATCAAAATGTAAGTGTATCCTTCTGATAAGTTAAAATCAGGACAAAAAAACGTTCTGAATTCCATTGCTATCCACTATCCAACTCGGGTTAAATAATTAAGAGCAATTTACAAGCTGTTGAATTGTTAGTTTGGTGATAATAAATTTGATTATTTTGATGATAAGCGCAACTCTACTACTTTTGTAGTGAAGGAGAACGCAGGTGAGGACAACCGAATTATATTTAGCACAAAATTACAGAGTTACTTAGTAAAACAGAAAAACCATACTATAATACTTAATTTGCAAAATGTTCAATAATTGTCTCGAACTTCGTTGTTCCTGCATTTCCATACTAATTGCTTTCTATTCCCGCTCTTCCTTTCTTGATCTTCCCCATCTTCTTCTGCAAGACATTACATTCCTGACTCGTGTCATATACTAGTTATATCAATATAAGTAGCACGCACCACACGTTGATAACACTGAAATACAAGTAGTAAACGTTTAATGTATGAATAATCTGAAAGCTATTGCGTTTTTTTTAAATCAGATTTAGTTAAAAATTACTATTTGTTTCATGACATGTTCTGTTATAAATCGGTACTTCTCTAACACTAAATAGAAATACATACTTTGTAAAAAACACAAAATTAAAATGGTCAAGTCACTCACATCTTTTGGGTCATGTTCTTTATGTCCCATTTCACACTCAGCTTCATTTTTAAACTCAATAAAAGGCATTTGCTTCATTGTGATATATTGAAGTAACGTACAGCCATGAGCTATTGTAGCGTTGGTTTAAATTCTAATCTCTACATTGGAAGTTTCACTTATAATAGATTTAACCTGATTCTAGGTAAACAGTTTCAACTTCCTAGTCAGTAGTGATTAAATATGGTTGACTAGAATTACTTAGAGTCTAAATAGCTAACCAATTATTGACAGTTGAACATCTTGAAGTATGAATACGACCAGTTCAACTATTGCCTCTTAATCACTTCAAAATAATCTTTAGGTTCAAAGAAAAATTAATCGTAAGAACAAAAACTGTGAGTTTTTACTGTTTTGGAATTATTATTTCAGAAAATAAAGTACATTAACTAACTAGTTTTTTTCAGCAATTATCCTATTATTATGTATTTAAGTTGATCCAATGTTTCCACATCTAGTTACACATTATGAAGTCAAACAATTGATGGTACTAGTGACCGTACTGAGGGTTACCTGTAGAGGAGTTAATCCAATAAACTTCAGAGCCAGTATCTGTAGATAAATTCTTTTTATTATTTTCTGCAATCATTATTTATTTCTATAGTTAACGAAACTGAAATAATGATGGATGGATAAATACGTCAAATGGCTAAAAATTATGATTAACGATACACTCTACAGTTGTTGTTTTTTTCCACAATTTGGCTTAAACGGATAGTTTCAAATGATTAATGATATCTAGAAAAACAATGAAGGATTACAGATGGTTATAATAGTCTTCCTCATAATTAAAATGTATTCTTGAAACGTTATTGTTTCTCACAATTTATCAGATAAATGAAAAACCTTCTCTTCATTGTGTTTTAATAACTATACTCCTTATTTCATTGAACTGAACTAATCATTTTCTTTAAAAATAACCATCGTCGCAATGGATATAGGCTGGTCTTCCATTAATTAGCCTGAACATCAAATCGCATCGTTAAAACACTAGTTTTTCTCATATTCAATATTTAAACTAGTGTACTATTTAATCAATCAACTCATTAGCATGTGTATAGTTAGCAAATAGGCGATGATTCATTTTTTTTATTAATAAATTACCTCCCAGGAACAAGAGGAATCAGAAGCATTGAATATTGAAATCAAATTGATAGGAGACAATCAATCATATACATTAATTCATTCACTCACTCACTCATTCATTCATTCATAGACACCCATACATAATAGACGAATAAAAATAATAGTAACAACAAATCAATATCCCACTAATTAATATAAATCTCTCATTGTTGTAATTACTTTACCAAATTCTAATACTTGTCAACAACTAACAATCTATCATCAATTAGTTTATTTTCCATGACAGTAATTCATGTCATTGTGAATGATTAATCCTATACAAATACAAACACACATACAAGAGAATCAAAATAGATTAAGGGAATCAAGGAGAAAAAAGAACAAACAATCCAATGTATTTAATTTATTATTAAAACTGGAAACAATTAGAGCAATAGTTGATTTATTAAGGATAATCTATCCTATAAACCAAATTGTTGCTCATTAGAAAGTAATATGATTAGTTAGTTATGTAAAAATTTAACTAGGAATATTCACCTAAAGTATCATTAAGATAAAAAGCTTCAGACTTACATGATGAGATTTTAACACTATACTCAGAATGCAAGATCAAGTTAAACAATTTAGACTAATGCAGATACCTACATTAAACATTGTTAACGTCGATTAGATGACCTATTCAGTATACAGTGAACCGGAGAACCATGTACCTATTAATATTCGATAATTTTGATGTTTGATTAGATTTCCTTGAAAAAGCTTGGACTAGATTGCCAGGCGAAACATTGAATTTACTTGAAATTCATTCGCTGACATTTTACAAATACATTCCTCGATGTTATTATTATGCAAAGAACACTTTAAACATCTTTTGAAAACTTAACACAAATGTTGAAAAAAAACGGAACAATAATTCACTTAACATTCAATAGTTTCCACTGTTAAGCCTCTTTTATAATAGTGATATCTGGTCATCCGTCTGTCGAAAATAACTCTAATTTTGACAAAGAAAATCATTTCAAATGTCAATTTTTACAAAACAAATCCAAATTTTAAAATCGTCAATATTCAACTACCGTAATTTGTCCTATAAGTAATTCAAATCAATAAAAAAATTTCCAATGCCGATTGACGGAATCTTTCCAAGTATTAAAATATAACTGATTTTCAAAAACATATGTATACTGATTAACCTGCCTATTTATTATTTTAAAGACGTGCGATGTTCAGTGGTATAGGAGTAGGTTCGAAGAAAGCTAGGGGCGGCCAGACCAAAACATGGCACAAGTTCATGAAGTCACTGACAAGTAGTCTGAGTCATGTCGGTAGGTGTAGACTACCTGGTTGGGGACCGCGAGATGATAGCAACCGATGGTTAGAGACCCTGGATGACATGGCTCAAAATCGTTTGCAATGGCGCAGGTGCATCCACTCTTTGTGTTCTGTCAAATTCTAATCTCCTGATTCCTCCTTGTCTCTTATTCTCTTCCCAAATTTATTCCACTGGATTATACTCTCTAAATAACATCTCCAAACACTAATCTTCCCGATTACTGTTAATACTCTTATTACCTCTACCACTACGGGATTCGAATCGACCACTGCATCTCTGTGCTAATGTGGTGTGGCAACTCGAACTGATGTACGTAGGTACGAAGTTCTACGTTGTTACTGACTGACTGACTTATTATTTTAAATTTACTCAGCTCTATTAATTACTTTTTAATTTTGTAGACTGTATCTGAAAAGGTGAAGAACAATAATGTTTTGGAGATATCGGAGAGCAAATCTCATCAAAACTTACATGACACAGATAACACATTATCAGTACAAACCCCTTTGAGAACATCATGTAAAAATCCCGTCACAGCTAACATTCCAAATAAACAGAGTTCAATTTGTCAGTCAGATAAATTATCAGATTCTTCCGTAATGAAAATATTAACAAATAATTCCTCCGAGATGACAGAATCTAAGGCACAACCAGTTTCAACCAGTGATCTAGATGAAAGAAACAAAGATTCAGCAAAATGTCCTCTTGATGGAAGATCTGTTGTTCCATGGGATTCGAATCAGAAAGACACTACTGTCTTACTTTCAACCACTTCATCACAGAAAACACTTCAAACAAATGAAACAGAAATGATTAAATCAACATGCATTCTTTCTCACGCTTCAACAGTAACTTCCTCTACTTCATTCCCTGACAAACGAAATGTCAACTGGGCATTTTCAAACCAACATATTTCTTCTTATCCTTTAGAAAAACTAGATTCAATTAATCTTGACTCAACAAATCCAGTTTTAATTAGAAAACAATCAGTAAAATTTCATGAATCAAACAGATTACAAAATGATCAAAAATCAAATGTCACTGTAACTAGACCAAATTTTTTATCAGATTTCATATTGATAAAATCTACACACCCTGATCAGCCATCGATTAAACGCCTTATTTCACCTGATGATTTGAAAAATGAACGTACTATTCGAAGACATTATAATATTACAAATAATCATAATCTAAATCAATCTGTCTTATTACAGAATGAAGGACAAGATGAATTTGTACCATTTATTTATTCAGTAAAAGATCCTACACTTTTAAATCATCATAACCGAGAATTATTAATAAATAGTCATCCAGAAATACAATCAAACCAACCATTTGATGTAGCTTGGTTGAAAGCTCAACAAAGGATGGAATTGATCAATTCAAGTAAATTTACTTTTATATTGTTTTAATCTATGCATATATTTTGCTCAAATAACTCTATTAGTTATAATCCAATTATCTTCAGTTTGAGTTTGTCGAGATTTTTGAATTTCATTGAAATCATGGACCGACCAATGTTACACCACAATTGAAAACCTGGATGCACTGGACGACTGTTTCGTTCCAGTATGAGACTCCCCGGCAGTGTGTATCCACGATAACACACGCAAGATTCAAACCCAAAGTCCTCGGTCTCGCACGAACACTTAATCTCTAGACCACTGAGCCGGCAACCAACTTTGTTAACATCGTCCTTTAAACAACCCACTACGTAAAAGTAAAGATTAAAATAATAAACCATTTAGTGCTGATGATAACTATACAGGTTTACTTAACTTCTACAGGATGTGAATATATAAAAAAGGGCCGGGAACTACTGAACTAAAAATGGATTATAATATAAATGGAATAGGCTAGTTAAAATAATTATTTCGTTTTGATTATTTAAATGGCAGGACATTATGGTACTTAAGTGAAATGGTATGGAGAATAAATAAGAACGAAAAACAAAGGATCTGAAGTATAATTTGGAAAGAAGAGACATTTTCAGATGCTTAAGTGTATGAATGGAAAATATAATAAACAACAATGATAACAACGAAAATCCAAAGTATATAGAATATAAGCTTCACAAAATGAATGACCAAAGTTTATGATATTTCAACAAGTTGGAAACAAAGAAGGCTTGGTTTACTTAAAATAAAAATTTTTATGAATCAACTTCAAATCAATATGTGGATTAGATGAGTTGTCGAAATTAACTGAATATTTAAAGATTGAATGCCTAACCTCTTTTCTCTCACTCTCGTAGATACAAACTAGAATGTGTTTTTATACACATGTTGAAAACAAATTCTAGTTGAAATAAATTAATCTAATATATACAGGAAATCGTTTTATGGTTGTAAACATTAGATGAAGCTTAACTGTATATCAGTTTTTTTGTGTCATTTCATTTAAACCATTCTGAGGTAAATCGCATTTCAGATTCATATAATTATATATCTTCATCTCTCCTGTCCCCCCAAAAAAATTATGAATTCTTTTGTTTAGATTAAGCGGTTTTGATAGACTATAATTTGTTATCAAACTTTTGTTAACTGTTATATCATATCATTTGCTCATAAAATTGATTCTTACATCATCATCATCATCATCATGCAAATTTAGGAGTTGAAGAGGGAGGTTGATTATGAATACAGTGGTCTTGAGTGCTGTAAGAGGTATGAGGGCGGTTATCACTTCCAGGTTGCCCACACCGTCGAAGGGTTCTTCTGGAGGGGCTTGAAAAGGAAATTGGATTAGATATTGTCTTGGTAACCTGAGAGCGTGACCGCAAATATCCAAGGGACAACTGCCTCGGGTCAGTCACACACGATCTTTTTATAAGTAATTTCCGTGTTAGCTCAGTACTTGTTGATACCTTACCACCGGAGACGGATATCCGTGGGATAAGGCGAGGCATGCATTTTTAGGGTTGACCTTTTCTAACCTCATCTCTCCTTGTGGAAAGGCAGTATCTCTGTCATGCTAGTCGTCTGAATGAAACACCTTACTGCTGTCACACCTCTGAACAGTCAGCATTACGGCTTCGCCTTCGAACCTTGTGTTTGTTGCTTTTAGTCTTACCGCTCTTCAACCGACCTGTCTGACATGTTCGGACCTGGAGGAACGGTTGTTCCAACCAGTATAACTCAGTCGCTTCATCACGATAGGCAAGCCCGACCACCACGTCAAGGTAGCAACAACTTTCTTCCTGTACTATATCCTTATATGCAATCTTTCTTTTATACATTACCACCATTGAATTAATTACTTCTATGAATCCGGTGTTCATCTTGCTGTACTAATGCGGTATGGCAACTTGGACCTATGCATATATATGCCTGGTCCTACGTTGTAGCCGGCTGACTCATACAGATTTATCTTTATATCATATAATTAATATAGTTTACTGAAAAGATCAAATGACCATAATTTTCTACTACTAATTCATTGTATTATTTCGACATCTCATGTATACGTTAAATTTAATACCCCATAACGTACTTCTATCAAATATGATCATAATCAACATTTTAAATTCTTCTAACTTTAATAAACAAAGTATTCTGATAAATTTTGATACAAAAGTAGGTAAATTAAATATCTTAACTTAACCTGTACATATGTATATACGTAGATACATTTAAACTGTAAATACCTCCTTATGTTACATAATAAGACAGAAATGTTACTTTTACTTCTTCTTTTTCTTGTACTTAAGAAAATATTCATGTTTCTAAAATAATTGATATAATCCTAAATGAATATATAAATATATATATATATAAACTTCAATTTTCCATTGAAATTCTTATCCCTGTATGGTAAGCATACTTATTTAAATAATTCAGTAGTATTGAAACATAACAACATATGGATGAGGATGAGGATGATGATGATGATGATGGGAATAATAAATAACACTAGTAAAAATGTTCAAGTTCTTTTCTTCTCTCTAATAATTCATTTTATGTTTTAAAAACAACAATAAAGCAATACAATCTATTGAATTGAAATAAGAATGTTCATCAATTTTAAAATAGATCTCTTTCAATTGACCATAATTAATTAACTAATGAAATGTGATTTTGTTTCTTTGTGGTCATTCAACTTGGTAGTACGTTAGAATATTGTAACAATTATATATAATAAGTAAATAGTTGAACACATGTAATCTCTAAGACTTCAGGTCATTATGTTTATTTCTATACAAACATATAAACAGCTGGTGCAGGAAAAAAAACTTTACAAAATGTAATAAGAATAATATCAAGGTTTGAGTAGATTTGTTCTTTTTTTTTCTTGTTTTTCTTCTTAATGGAATTAACTAGGGTAAGTAAATCCTTCGAAAATCATTGTATTTATATAAGTGAATTTTAAGAGTTGCAGAAATATGATCTGTATAATTCAATGGATATACATGGATGTAATATGAAATTTAATTAAATTTTGTTCTAGATTGATTCATTGTTTGGTAGATAATTCCCATTTTAAACATTAAAAACACAATGTTCAGCGAAAGGATCTCTTTTCAAGGAATTTATTATCAAGCTGTACAGTCGTATATATATATTTTTTTCTTTCTGTTAAAGTATTAGTTCCGTGAGGAAATGTGAACAGAGAATAACCAAGATAATAACAATAACGAATTATATAACGTGAATGTAGTAAGATGATTAAAATGTTTTTGTTACAATAATTAAAGGTCATAGAGGGGTAAAAAGTAAAAAAAAAGTGATATCATAAGTAAATATGAATAAAATATTGTGAATATGAGACACAAATAAGAGGAGAAATGCAATAATAATAATAATAAAGGGTTATTCCTTGTTCCGATTCCCTGATGGAACAACTGGTACTTTAACAAAAAATATTTTCACATATATACAATTGTACAATTTGATAATAAATTCCTTGAAAAGAGATCCCTTCGCTGAACTATGTGTTTTTAACTTATTGTTTATTCATTCAGTTATAATCAACTTATTGCTTAACATGAATGTTAATTCTGCCAAATTCCTACATAAAAACAATAGAATGAACAGTACCATGATAGTCTAATGAATAGTAATGTCAATGTTGACTCAATAAGATTAAATATAAATTATGAAAGAATACTAAACTTTATGATTCAAAGAAAGAATTATAAAAATCCATACTGTTCAATGAGTTCTAGTTTCTAATAGTTCTTATAACTAACTTCACATAGAAATGAAAACCAAGCACATTTATAGACAATCATTAGAATTAAAAACAATGTGTTTTAACCAGCTACAGTGTCTCGAATCATTGAAATTTAGCGATTTTCCTCATTTTTAAATTTGATATTTATAATAGAAACTATTTGATGGTTTATAAATTATTATAAGATCTGAAAGATGAGAAGTTCATATCTCACCAACTCATAAGTAAATTTATTTTGTATTCAAATCATTATAATCTCAATATATCATTATCAATTATTACCCGTTACTACTCTTTAACTATTCGATAACATAAAATAAGGAAATCAAGTGTTTATTAGTATCGAAGCCGTTAAGAACAACTAGATATTGAAGATTTACTCATTTGAATTAGCTGTTTGATGCAAAATCTTACAAAAGGTGACAAACATAATGTCAATTTCATATAAAGTTTTGCGTTTTTAACCCCCGTTACTTTATTAAAATTCTTATGACATAAATTTATAATTACGTTATTATATATTACATCACTTGGTCTATTTTTTGTTCAGATAACACACGAAACGGAATTCGTCGATCTTGTCGTGATTTTGCTCAGCGCCAAATCAGTGCAGAACCCACATTTACGAATATGCAATCAAGTATTATGCATTTATCTCCAACAAGAACACATAAAGAACATTTCGCCTCTAGAATTCCACCTACCAGTAAGAATAGTAATGTACTTTTAATGACACAATCTAGTTTACCAGCTGGATTTCCTGAACAACAATCAGAATACTTTATGCATTACAGACATAAATCTGATAACCTTGTTCATAATAACCCTAATTTTGTCACAGATATGAGATCGACTCGCATGTCAGGCGATTCTACACATGTACAGTATTATCCTCAAAGAAATCGTTCATATAATTCTGAGAATTCCTGTATGACAGATTTATTTGCACCAAGTTACAACAGTAGTATGACGCAATCTGTATTCTTCCCTCTAGATTCAGGATGGGGCCCACCAGATGTTAAATCAAATGATTCAACCAGCTCTAAACACAAAAAACATCATTCACATATGATTCGTTCACATAGTCAACGTACTGCCGATCCACAAACTACTTTATTAGAAGGTAATCAGTTAAGCACGTCCTCAGATCACACAAGATGTTTAATACCTTCAAAATATTATCATCGTAATTTAAGTCAAACAGTACCAGCCAATCCAGATAGTAATTCCATTTGGCCTCCAGTTCTTGTTCAATGGCATAGAAGACGACCAAATGTTGCTGTTAGTTCAGAAAATTTCCCCGACATAATAGATTACCAGGGAAGTAAAAGATACAATGAGAATCTACACATTCCAGCTGAATATTACAGACATCGAAAACCAGATTTTCCACGTCATCATAGTAGTAGTACAACAGCGATATCTGAACAACTTGAAAATCAACTGTAAGATAATTTTATTAGCAACTTTTATTTATTGACATAAAGTTTTAAAAAAATTAAATAAAAAAAACGATGATGTTCAAAATTCGAAAGTACCTAAGATTTTTAAATTTTAGGGTAACTAGATAGTTCAAGTATTTAGTAATACTTCTTGTGAATTAACGAAGGATAGTTTTGATCAGACGTATGAACTACTCCTACTCAAAAACTAGATTTACTTTATTGATATGACTTGATGTTCAGTTGGATATGATCAAGACACTTGATAGTTTCAAAAAATAGATGATTACAAGCAAAGATGAATGGTGGCTAGCAGTGGGATCCAGGACGTTCATTTCATCCTATTTGGGACTCGTTGGCTGGATGTACCTGCAATATCAAGTCAATCCGTACAGAATGCACATATGCCAACATGAGACTGATCAATTGCAGTCCTAAGCAACAATGGGAAGATTCAAGCAAACAACACCAAGTGAATAAATAACTACATTTTCCAACCACATCAATATCAACATATCCTTGGTGTTGTACCGGACTGGTGTAGATATAGCTATGATAGCATCGTGATTTCTTAGTTTCCTTAATCATCGATCATTGGGAAACAGATATGTATATCATTGTCATACTACACTGAATGAATATTTTACATATAAACATTCATCTACAGTTTCAAATATGTATGTTACTTATAGTCAGTCAGTCAGTCAGTCAGTTAACTAACTCTTCTGTTCTCTGACATCCATTTACTTGAGATCTAGAGAATGATTCCGTGAGTAGAATTCGTAATCCTATTACTTTATTTATTTCAGTATCTGTTAACAACCGATTTAGTCACTATGATATATAGTATAATCAAATGGCATTTGTACCAGATTGTAATTGTTTTCAGTTTTTATAATACTACTCCAGTAGTAGTCACTCTGTTAGACCATCTTTTCACCAAAAGTTACAACAAATCATGTTATCCTAGCTTAATATCGACTGTTCAACATGATGTTCATTATTATTATTCAATTCAATGGGGTTAATTTAAAGAGAAAAGTAATTGATTAAAATATAGCTTTTGTTCTGATTTCCACTAGATCAATGCATTGACTTGGGATGTAATACATTGAAGACAGTATTCACACAATTACATTACAAAAAATGCACCTTTTTTTATTAAATTATTCGTATTTATAGTACTCGGACCTGTTTGCCTAATAGTGGTAATTTCTATATAACATGACGTTTTTGCCCTCTAATATAATATAGCCGTGGTTATGTATTTCGTGTTGCTATAGTAAACTGGTATGTAAAGCGACATGGTTAAAATCAGATAATCAAGACAGAGGCTCGTAAACTTAATGGCTCCTGAGACAAGAAACACTATTCCACCTGCTTGACAGATTATCGATACAAATGTTGAGGCATAAGCAATATTGATCAAGCCTAGTTCTCATTACTAGGTCAGTGACTCATTTACCTAATGAAACACAATACGCAAATACTGACTTGGCTAATTTGAGTGTTTCGCCCATCATAGTTTATGTAGTTAAGATTTATCGTTTTATGGAAAACTCAGTTCTGGATCATATTTGTAGATGATCTCTGACACCCCTAAGCTTCGGACGAGTAATGGATTTATATAGTGCAATAAGTACCATTTCCGAACTTAACTGATTAATCCAATTCAGTAACTGCGAAAATTGGACTATGTATCTTAGTATTTTAAACCGAAACATTAAATACTTACGGGACATATTTGTATGCTTAATCATTGACCGAAATAAGGTGTTATAGCCCATATACCAATAGAGTTGATTACCTCTTACTCCTGCCTAAGTACATTCAATTAGGCACAAAATCTAACGTGTTACATATAGCTTTATAATGACTAGTAAATTCGATTGTTTGTTTCACTTACAATTATGATCGTTATTCCTAACTTAAAATAACCATCATTATTCAGAAATATTTCCCTAAAACAAACGAAGCATGTTGTCAAGCTTTGAAAATGAAGTATTGAGAGGAAGTTATGTAATAATCGGGTGGTGAAAAAGTGGTACGATTATCTTCACCTTATCACTTTTCCACCATTCGATTATTATATAACACAGAAATGTTTCTGTATTGTAGTACCGGTTAAATATTCAAAAAATATTCTGCGAAGGTTATACAGTTCACTTTTTTTAAATAGTTAAGCACATATTTATCTATCTCCAATTCTTATTTTCTGCTAAGTCCTAGATACCACACGGATGGAAAGGAAAGATAATTTCATTTATTTATTTGTTTCATTCAAATCATAATAATAATAAATTCTGGCATTATTCAAATTGTCAACTGTCCATCATTTTCTCTATACATTTGCCTATTGTGAATTTTTCAAATATTCTTCTTCATGTAGGCCAACTCTCAAGTTAGCAGTTATAACCCCATAAATGAACCGTAATGCTAGTCACAATAAAAAAAAACGGTAATACATGCTAATAGATGTGTTTGTTTCTTTGTCTGTTAAGGTTCACATTCTCGTGTCACAGAGAATGATAAAACCAACTAATGGTTCATTGAATCAAACTTCGTTCTGGCTTCCTTTTTGTTTTATTTAACTAAATAATGAGGCGGTTAGATCAAATATTTCGCTACAATGAGTCATTTTTTTTATGATGTGAACAACTTACTAACAAAATGAATGCTTGGTTACTTTTTACTGAAAAATGTTTCATTTATAGACAAGTTTTGGCATAAAATCACTTGGTGGGCAAAGGACATTAAGAGACATACCACACGCGTAGTTATAACAATGTCATAAATATATAGGAATAACAGTAAGTGTAACATGAATAAGTTTATCAAAGTGATGAGCTTCTTCTTACTGGAAAAAACATTTTCACAATTTTTTCACACACTGATTAGTTAAATTATTGATATGTAAAGTAAACATTAAGAAAATAGATCAAAAGGAGTACAGGAATAACAAGATTATTAAAGAAAGAACATCACTATTCACACCAGCACTGATATTATCATAATAATTGAGAAATATTTTTGATTACTTGAAGAAAGGTCTCAATCGTTGCATGGTTAAGAACATAGTAAATATAACTACTCACCAAACACGTTTTATATGTTATAATGAAGGCAAGTTTCCGACCATTTATTTGTAGTTAATACTTAATTTGTTTTATGTTAAATGAAAGTGTATGTTTATTATCTGTAAGTAATGGACTTTTAGGGTCCTCTTCTTCCTACAATTACTGAAGCACAACTCAAGTGTCTACATACACATTATGAATGTCACAGCATTTAACTCATCGTTTGAGTTTTGATTGAGGATAGGATCAAACTAACCGGTAAACATAAAAATATTTAATTTATTAGTAAACGGAATACACCCATTAAGACATTAAATAAGAAAGATCAGTTCAGCGAAGAGTTCTCTTTTTGGCGAATTCATTTTCAAAGCTGTACAATCGCAAATGTATATACTTATTTTTACAGGATGATAATAAACTGTTAATAAACTTCTGTTAGACATAGTGACAGTGAGGTTAAATAAGCAAAGGTATTAAAAAAAATTTTGTTTCATAAAGCAAGGAAAGTTTAATAATCATTTGATTGTTAATGGCTTAAGTATTTATCAAAAATAGATAGGAGAAATTATCAATGGGAAAGGCTGGTTCAGCATGATAAGATAAAATGTTGAAATTGAGATTAGAAGTAATCAGAATGATTGTAGAAACAAAATAAACCAGTTGGGGGTGGAGGATGTAAAGGGAAGATGGAAAGTGAAGCAGATGGCTGTAAAGGAAGAAGAGTATGAGAAAGAGAAAAACATTTATAAGACATTAAGACCATGGTAGAAGAAGAGGTTGTACCAGTCTCTTATACACACACAATTCTGGTGTTTCCAGATGTATGGCTAATGCTTCGGCAAAGAAGATGCAGTCTAATTGTATTTGGAAGACTTCTACTTACCTTGTAGATGACTTTGAATGCAGAGTTTGTCTTGATTGAGTAACCTGTTTTCACAAGGTGTTCGATTATTGAACTTATTGAGCCGTTGCCTCTTCATTTTCGCCACGCCGGACAATGTTCTCGAATTCTTCTGGATAAAGTACTCATAGAGCGACCTATATACCAAGCTCGACATGAGCAGGTAAATGCACATTGAGTTGGTCATATACGATAATTTATCGGCTGGAGAATACTATTCGCAGGGTTGCTGCGAAAAATGTTCTTTTTTAAGGAATCAGAACATCCTATCCAAGCATTACCAGGCATGGTTGTCAAAAGATTAGTACAAAATGATCAATAGTTCTATTCTTGATTGATCACTTAGCCAAACCTAGTAATATAGGCCCTTGATTAACAACTTTGAAAGTCATTTTCAATTTTAAATAACCTAGCTTAAAAGTTATACAGATCAAATATTTCTATCTATACGATAGAAACGTTGGCATTTCAATACACGATCTTTATGTTCAAAAACTATAAGCCACTGTTAATATCTTTTATCCGATTAATCTTTTCCTTTAATATTTTCTAAGTGAATAATTATCTTTCATCCATTATCTACTTTTTATCAAATTTTTTCACATTAACCTTCAGTCGACTATACAATTTCTTTGATATTTAGAAATATATCTAATCAATTTTCAAATGGCATAATATTTGATTCTCTTACTATAAACTTAGATGTACTAAACAAACAAACAACCAACCATATAGTTGTACAGCAATAATAAATGACATCATCACAAAGAGAATTTGTTTCGTTTAATTGTTATTATTTTAAGAAAATGTAAACTACTTTTAAGTAGTATGATGTTATTCTAAGAGTTTGATTCAAATTAATGTGCTGAATATATTATGGGTTGTTTTTTTTCTTCTTTTCTTTACTAGATGGTTTCACTGTGATCTTTCACGTTCACATGCAGAAAAATTATTGAAATCTACACCGACAGGTAGTTTTCTTGTAAGAAGAAGTGAGACAAGTAAAACAGAACTATCACTATCAATAAAGTAAGCTTTTTCGTTTGATTATGTTGTGATTTATTTTTAACATATAACCTTTTAGTTAACTTCTGTTCCATTTGACTATTAATTCAAATTTTCTGTATTGTGTAACATTTCTACTTAAATGTTTGATTGCAATTTTGATGGAGTTTCTTTTACTTTGAGCTGGACTTTCACCTGAAGTTTGTGTTGATGATGTCGTTCAGAATAACGATAAAAGCTCCATGACCAAACGATTCAGCCCAGAGAACAAAACTCCACCAAAATCATCTATCTGAATTACAAATCTTCTCCACCATCTCATTACACTTTTGATGTAATTATTATAAAGTAATGATAATAGGACAAATACTAATAAAGATTAATCGGCTTCAAGGTCAACTGAACGAACTACTAGTTATTTGTGGAGAAATTTTTACGACTCGCTTCCGTCTGAATTTTTCACCAATTATTTTGTTTGAAGAGATAACGAAGGTTACGGAGTCAAAACATTAAGATCAGAGACAGACGTTTCGACAAAACCATACTCTCGAGCTACAAATCACTACTATTTTAGTAATAATAAAGTCTGTCGTAATTTCGATCTACGTGTTCACTGAGATACATGATCAGAAACGGATAGTGGTCAACATGAAATCGTATTTATAATTTGAAACCAAGATTATGATCACTTTTTTGTTTGACCTCAAGGGATTTACCTTAGTTTATTGAGTACGATTAACTGCCAAAAATGGATAAATGAACATCAGTATACAAGGAGTGAAAAATAATGCTAAAGGAGAAATAATGACCTCCCTGAACACTTTAACTTTTTAGTGACTACTTATGGGTATAACATGCTGTAAAAGTTACATGGATTTCTTTTAAAGTGCAATTAGTTTGTTTACTAAATTCTTTGCACCAACTAACAAACTATTCTCTTTCCAAAAACTGACTTTTCTAGTGTATTTTACCCGGTTTCTTTTTACAGACGAGAAAGCGATGTTCTTCATATGAAAATTTCACAAGATCCTGAAACTGGAGGTTATGTTTTAGGCGAATATAGTCAACCATATCCAAGTGTTTCATCTATGATTTATCGTTATTCACGAACTTTACTACCAGTACGTGGTACAACTCCGGTGTTGTTACGATTCCCAATCAGTCGTATTACATTTTCACATTAAATATAAATCAAACAACTCATAACGATGTGTCAGTTATACATTCTATTTACTTAGTGATTTATTTATACATCTCTTTATTACTACTTCTTTTTTTTTCTAACAGATATTCATGATTATCATATTGTTTTTACAATTCTCTCCCCCATTACCTTTACATTTTCTTTTTTTCATTTTGTAGCTTTATTGTCTATTTTAGCTAAATTTCATTTTCTTTGTATTTATATCTATTTAACATTTCAATATAACTGCCAACTTGTCCTACATTTATTTACATTAGTACACATATAGAGTCTTTCGTATTAGTACTATGATGGATAAGTCACACAAAAAAAAAAGAAATGTTACCGATGTTTCACACGAATACTCCTGGTTATAAAATTACAGTTTAACTAGCATTTAATAATTGTTTCGTTATACCAGTGCTTTTCTTTTTCTACAAACAGTGAATAAAACACATGTCTATTCTTCAACTCTTTGTTGATTTCTTTTTTCTTTTGATATGTTCATAATTCAGATTTCTTCCATTTTTCTTCCCTGAATTAAATGTAATATCTTCTAGTTACTAACTGTCTAATTACTCAATATTTATATTATTCAACTCATTAACATAATTCAGTAAATTTATACTGTTGTTTTTAAAACGGAAAACTATTTGAACTATTTTACACATAGATTCAAAATGTTCGCTTTTAAAATAACTAGGGCAAAACTATTCAGAAAGAATCGTCAACACGCACAAACTTTAAACACATGTGTATATTAAATATTACTAAATAACTTAACATTGTGTCTTTTTTTCTTCATCCGCTTACTCGTTTATTGAATTATGAGCATTGTGTTTGATTGGATAGTTTCAAATTTTTGAAGTGTGCTACTTTAGGTTGTAATTACTTTTATTGCTTTGAATTTTGTTGTGTTTTTTTTGGTCACTAGAATTTATAACAAAAATGTTGGGAACAATAGGACCGCAGTATATACATACATTTCTCCTGCAAATTTCAAGAGAACATTTATTCTGAAATATCGTCACCATCATTGTAGTTGTTACTATGATTATTATCAATGTCATTATTTCTTTCAAATATTCATTACTGTATGATTTTTATTACTGACCTCTAGAGCTGCTGTTCTTTACGTGTCTCTATAATATAAATTTCAGCTTCAATGTTAACTATTTCGTTATACACTCAATCTAGTTATTCGATTTAACGGTTACCTCTATGAGTTATAAATATTAGCCTTGAATATATTTACAATAATAATTAGAGTACAGAAATAAAGGTGTTATAATGTAAAATGTGTAAGATTATCTTATTGTTTCAAAAAATCGTAACGAAGTGTTTTATCTAACTGACCATAGATTTACTGCCGTATTGTTGGTAATCCCAAACAAGATGAAATTGCTAAAATGAGAGATCTGTTCATCAATCAGTTTATAATTAACAAACTTATGGTTATCTATAATTTAAAGTATTCAAGCAATTCTATAAACCATAATCGTTTATTTGAGTCACTTACCAGGACAATACTCTATGGACTAAGTAATGTGCCTTTAGAAATCTACCTTTTTTTCAATATACCTGTTGATATCCGCTACTTTATTATACCAGTGAGATAATCACTGCTTTTTTTTCTATGCATAAAAGGAACTATAAGTCATACACGCTGGTTATCCATAAACTTCACCTAACATAAACCTACTGCCTACCTTTGAGTTCATAATCCTTCCACCGACTGCTATCAGTTGAATATATTTTAACTCACGATATTTGATACTCATCCCACTAATTATGATGCCTATGAAAGTTATTTACTTTAAACTGTTAAGCAGCACCATTTCAATTTTTGCGAAATCTTTATTAAATGAAGGCTGTACCAGGAGAATTTCCTTGATAATTCCCTTTATTGTTTAACTCTACAACTTAATATATTTATTCTGAAATTATCATCCAATCAAATAAATGCCCAAGGACCGAATTCATAACGTCTTCCTCCCAATCCTTATAGAAGCAACACTATCAAATACATTTTTAGAGCGGATGTTGGTTACATCTAATGTACCTTGTTTACAGGAACGCCAACAAATTTGGTGTTAGCGGAATATATATTGGATTAAAGCATGGCTATTTCTTAGCCAATCAGCACTAGTGGATACACTTGGTGAAGACTCTGGAATTTTCTTACGTAAAAATTATAAGTATACTGATGTTTTCCTTATTCTGATTCCTACTTCCATTTAACCGTGTTATTTGGAATATATTTACGTTCCTGTTCAACCGTGTTCTGATTTAAGGACTTGTCTAATAAAGGAGTGTCTAAGAATACTAAGCAATAAGAGGAGCTGGGTCGTAACTGAAAGAAATCATAACATGTGGAGTACTCAAATCATTAGAATTTAGGAGGAAACAAAAATTGAGAAAGATCTCAGTTCCTCAAACTTCTTATATTAACAGTCAACGACGTCATATGCTACATTAGTTTGCACCACTATTTTCTCTTTTTAGCCTGATTTTTAAATGTTTGATAAACCTGGTTAAGATATCCAGTAGTTTGCACTAATACTACTCATGAATAGCTCCATTATAAATCAACAGTGCTTCAGAAATATCTATGCTGAAATACTGTAATCATGCACATTTCTTATTTGACCACTTATGCTGCAGGAGACGAAGTTAATGAGTAGAAAACTCCTGTCTAATAACGTTTTTCACTTTACAGTTAAGCGGAGCTCTTTGTTTATTTCACTGGTAAAGTAAGCTACATATACTAAATGATTCATTTTAATTTAGAAATACCAATACAATTTATTTATTCACTAACAATTTGACAAAGACACCCTACAATTCAATTCTTGAAACCTATATACACATTTCACTTTTATCTTAATATTTAACCTTAAAGTTATTTAAAACAAACCATTATGTAATATACTCGCTCCTCAATTTGTAAACGAACATTTGCCTTTCAGTATGAACAATATAAACTCATAAAACCTTAATGAAGACTTTATGTTGGTAAAAGGTTTTGTCAGACACTGGATGTTGGTAAGACCACTAAGTAAAAAGGGAACAGTTTCTTGAATAACTATAAAGTTATTTCTATTGAGTAAAAATAAGTTCGTTGAACAATAGGTTGCTTAAATATTTCTGAAAACATGAACTAAAATTGTAATGAAAAGCGTAAAACCAGACAAATACATTATCGTATTTCAGAATATTAATCGTTTGATTGACTAGAAGAAAAAAATAAAAAGCTCTGTTCTCGTACATTCAGTCTATATCAACCAGCATATCAACATATGTTTAGTTCTTATAGTTAGTTATGGGTAGAATCCAGTTGAACTTATGCTTCTATTATCTTTACAAATAACAGAAGCCATAAGAATATACATCAATCAACCAAGTCTATCTAATTTATATCCTGATAATCCAATTAATTAATGTTTGTTGCACCCGTTTTTTTAATTACATAATACTTGTTTAATGAACAACATTTAACATTTATATTGAGTGGTCTAGTTCCAAACTTTCTGATATGATGGAAAGAAAAGTCAATTTTCGATTGATTTACTCATTATGAGTTATTGTTCAAGATTACTTCCGTTCGATTCAATGTAATAATTACTCAATGTAGTATTTGTTCTCTTTTCTCGTATGATATTTTATTCTGTATAATATACGATATTCTTGTATTCCATTGACATGAACTATACTCAGTCTGTGATTTGTTATAACTCTAAGTATTTTTCATATATGTGATTTTATCCTAATTATTAATTAAAATAGGTGTACATTCAATATATAAATGAGTGTATTTTTCGACGAAGGTCGTCGTCGTGTTTTAGGGTTAATAAATCTTCACTTATGCCAGTCTTGTGTTCTTACATTCACGTTGTGGGAATTGCGGAGGTCCCTCGTTCCGAGTATAAGTGATAAGCGTTTCCGACATAACAATCAGCGACGACCAGATACAAAAATTAGCATTAAAAGAGCCAAGACAATAAGCATTCAAACAACAAGTTATAACACTTTCTTGATTCTTCTTATTATTTTTCTACATAACTAACTGGATATTCACTGAGTAGTTAACTGATCATGAAATTTGGAGGGAAAGATATAAAATGCATAACTTAATTGATTCAATTAGATTTAGTTAGTATTAATTTTATTCTTGATTGGTAAACTTAGATAACAGTTTGAAATCATTATGAATAACTAATTGATTAGAAATACTCCATTTAATTTGCATAATTTAATGTCCCAATGAAGAGTCCCATACTAGGACGAAACAACCGTCCAATGCTTCCAGGTTTTCCATGGTGGTCTAGTGAAATTCTTAATGAAAGTATTTAATATAGCGAATAGCTATACGTAAAAACGTGCTGCATTCGGTTTCGAAAGATAAGAATCATAAATTATTTGAATGAAAACAAGGCTACTTTTTAATCATAAAAAAGTGAATGACAGCCATAGCATATAAAGTTTTTAAAACCTTTTTATCCAGTACATTTTAGTCATTTTTATAAATTTTAACATTTGAAATAAATGCGGTAAGATAGCATAAAAGTACTAATGATTAAAAGCATAAACATCTGGTTTCCTATCTTTAGATTTGTTCTGGATTTTGTTATATTTTGAACGTAAATTTCAAGTGTTTTGACACAAATTCCAAAGGTCTTACTTCTATTTCGTTGGAAAAGCAAATGACATATCCTGATGGGTCACCTATATCTTTTCTCTATCAGAATCTTTATCACATTTTAGTTATTACTTTGTTTCAGTTGTCCAAATAACCACATCAAACCGTCATTTAATCCTTCACCGTTTATGGCATTCGAAGCAAAGATCCTCCATGATTTGTTTCTCAATTGTTCCAGACCAAGAATCTTGACTATTTCTTTGACTGTAATAGAATTCGATAAATCCATTTTGTTAGCAAAAAGGAGGATTGGAATTCGCCTATTGCAAATATCTGGATGTTTCAATAGTTGTTGAAATTCG